CCCAAAACCTCCCCCACGCCCCCCCAAACCCCCCCAGACCCCTCCCCAGACCCCCCAAACCCCCCCCATTCCCCCCTCCCGGGGGTCCCGCTGACCCCAGCCCCCTCCCCAGGTCCTGGCCACCGACATGTCCAAGCACATGAGTCTCCTGGCCGACCTCAGGACCATGGTGGAGACCAAGAAGGTGACGAGCTCGGGGGTCCTGCTGCTGGACAACTACACCGACCGCATCCAGGTACCGGGGGGACCCCGAAAATCACCCGGGGGGGGCTTCGGGTGGGCTCGGGGGTCCTCAGAGGGTCCTGGAGGGCCTCAGGGGGTCTTTGGGTGGGCTCAGGGGGTCCCCAGGGGGTCCCCAGGCGGGTCCTTGAGTGGTCTTGGGGGTCCTCAGAGGGTCCTCGGGTGGTCTTGGGGGTCTCCAGAGGGTCCTGGAGGGCCCCGGGAGGTCCCTGGGTGGATTTGAGGGTCCGCAGGGGGTCTTTGGGTGGATTTGGGGGTGCTCAGGGGGTCTTTGGGTGGATTTGGGGGTGCTCAGGGGGTCTTTGGGTGGATTTAGGGGTCCTTAGGGGTTCCTTGAGTGGTGTTGGGGGTCCCCAGAGGGTCCTTGAGTGGTCTCGGGGATCTCCAGAGGGTCCTTGGGTGGATTTGGGGGTCCTGAGAGGGTCTTTGGGTGGTCTTGGGGGTCCCCAGAGGGTCCTGGAGGGCCTCAGGGGGTCTTTGGGTGGATTTGGGGGTCCTCAGAGGGTCCCCAGGGGGTGTTGGGGGTCCCCAGGGGGTCCTGGAGGGCCTCAGGGGGTTCTTGGGGTGATCTCGGGGGTCCACAGAGGGCCTCAGGGTGGATTTGGGGGTCCTTGGGGGGTCCTTGGGTGGATTTGGGTGTCCTCAGAGGGTCCCCAGGGGGTGTTGGGGGTCTCCAGAGGGTCCTTGGGTGATGCTGGGGGTCCCAGTGGTGTCCCGAGGAGGTCCCAGTGGTCCTGGGATGGTCTTGGTGGTGTCCTGTGGTGGTCCCAGTGATCCCAGGGGTGATCCTGGGGTGATCCCGGTGATCCCGGGGTGATCCTGGTGATCCTGGAGATGATCCTGGGGTGGTTCCGGTGATCCCGGGGTGATCCTGGTGTTCCCGGGGGTCACGGTGACCCCTCTCCCACCAGGTGTTGCGGAACATGGTGCACTGTGCCGGCCTCAGTAACCCCACCAAGCCCTGGGGCTGTACCGGGGGTGATCCCGGGGGTGTTCCCGGTGATCCTGGGGTGATCCCGGGGTGATCCCGGTGATCCCGGTGATCCCAGGGTGATCCCGGTGTTCCCGGGGGTCCCAATGAACACTGTCCCACCAGGTGTTGCGGAACATGGTGCACTGTGCCGACCTGAGTAACCCCACCAAGCCCCTGGGGCTGTACCGGCAGTGGACGGAGCGGATCATGGAGGAGTTCTTCCGGCAGGGAGACCGGGAACGGGAGCGCGGGATGGAGATCAGCCCCATGTGCGACAAACACAGCGCCTCCGTGGAGAAATCACAGGTGAGGGGACACCTGGGGACACCTGGGGACACCTGGGGACACCTGGGGACACACCTGGGGCATGGGGACACACCTGGGGACACACCTGGGGACACACCTGGGGCATGGAGATCAGCCCCATGTGCGACAAACACAGCGCCTCCGTGGAGAAATCACAGGTGAGGGGACACCTGGGGACAC